GGAATATGTACTTTTATATATATTATTAGGTTTAAAATTTTAAAAAATGACATGGATTTACATTTACACCAACCAAAAACTATTTTTATGATAATTTTGAAGAAAATAAATAAAAAGTAATAATATTTTTATAAATATATATTTATTTATGTCATTTAATATAGTTTTTTCTATATTTTTCTCTTATATATGTATATATATTATATATATATATATTGACGCACGAAAACAAATCATCAACTTCAACTGCTTCATGCCCCGGATCACGGGTATTCCTATTGTAGTTATAGACCCCACATTGGCTATATATATATATATATATATATATATTTTAAATCTCATTTGATTTTCAGATTTATTTTACAATTAATTTAGTGAGCGTTTTTCTAGTTGGGTAGCCTCTTTTTCTATTTTGGTAATTTTTTTTATTTTCCTTTTAAGTGAAACCGTAGAAGAATTTTTTCCTTGATTTTTAAAAATATTAATAATAATATAATAAAATAAAATAAAAATAATTGCCCATTTTAGAAGAGGGGCAAAAACATACTATATAATAAATTAAAGGTCCAATGGATGACAACTTTATGTTTGGCTTTATAACATTTTTTTTTAGAATAAGCTTCTTTATTGACAATTGCTTTATTTGCATTTTATCTAAAAGAAAATTGTAGTAAAAGAAATTTTGAAGAAGATTGCAATAATAAATAAATGGAAGAAAAATATATTACTTCCAAAAAAGGCAACTAGTGAGTATGATTTATTTATTTTTTCTAAAGTAGTGGCTCAATGAGATTATAGCATAGGAGTCACAACACATCAATTTTTAAATGAAATTCCGTTTGGATTCAAGTGGATTAAATGTTCATTTTTAAGCCTTTATTTTATTTTATTTTTAAAACAATTATAATGTCAAATATATATATATATATATATATATATATATATATATATATCACTTCCTCCTAAAATTTAAACCATTTTTTTAAGTTTTAAAAGTTTTGACTTTATTTTAAAGGTTACCAAAATATTTTAATCAAATTCCTCTTTTACATACTTCAAGAGGAAGGAACAAAAGTGAAACAAAAAGTTAGCTCAATGAGCGCCTCATTTATAATACGACATCCTTAAAAAAAACAAAAATAGGTTCGAGGTTTAAGATTACATTAAATGAGATATATATTTCTATCGTCAAAATAGGAGAGAAGAAAACTCTTTATTCCTAATCTTATCTTCAGTCGATTTTCCTTCTCTAATAAGATTAAATTATTGCGTAGTTTCGTACTTATAGATAATACTATAATTATTGTAACATAAGTGTTGATCGCAATTGTTTTTTTTTCTTTTGTTATTTATGATATATTTATATAAAACAAATGAATTGAACTTTATTGTACTTGACATAAATGAAAAAAAAATGATGAACTTGCTACACTAGTAGTGCAATGTGGGCCAATTACATATAATGCTTTAATACCAAATTATTGGGAAGTTTCATAGCCACATGAAAAGCATGGTCTTTAATTTATTTCCCCGTAACATTATTGTATGCCATCAATTAAAAGTTTTCCAAAAGGTACTTTATATTAAAAAAAAAAAATTCTTCTTTTCACAATTCTTGTATTCAATAACTTTCCTTGAAAGAAAATCCTAGTCCATGAAAATTCTAATTAGATAAATCAAGAATGGTTTATATATGGAAGCCAAAAAAGTTTGAAAATGACAATTTGGGATATAGGATCCAATTTTATTACACTTTGACTTAATCGAAACTATTTAAAAGAAAAATTCTCTCTCTCACATTAAAATATTGATTTTTTTACTACATTATATTGATATATATATATATATATTTTGAAAGCATTAAAGTATTGATATCAATATATTCTTAAATTATTGAAATTAATAAAAAAAAAAGTTCACTTTTTTAACACTAAGTTAAAAATACTATTATTTGGGTACTTATATTCATATTCGTCATATTTTCTTTTAAGTTTCTTTGACGTGTATATGGTATTTGAGCAATATAAAATAACAAATTCTTAAGTTTAGAGAAATGTTGATAAAATATATTTAAAGTGATTATTGAAAAACAAATCAACTTAATTTATTGTTAAAAATAATTCTTTTTCCTTCAAAGTAAACATAACCATAGATTCATTATTTTTTAAAGTTTATTATTAAAGCACAAAAGAGATCTCTGCCTATGGATAAATTGATGAAAATATTCTATATCTAAAACATATCATGTAGGAAGCTTTAACCGCTGAGTTTTGTTCATATTGAATAAGCCATGTCACGTTATCAAATCATATAAACAAAGAAAAATGAACGAGTAGATATGTGTCAAAATTGCTTAGATAAATATTTTGTTTTTAACTAAAATAAATATATTATTGTCAATTTAAATAAATTTGTTTATTTTACTTTTGAAAACATACTTTTAAAATAGTAAAAGACGATATAAAGTATGTATGACATAATGTACAAGAAGAGATGTCAGAATCGATGTGATAACTATTTTGTTTTTAGTTTTGAAATAAATATTTTGTTTTTAATTTTTTTAAATATACTTCTGGATTAGTTAGAAGTATCTAAGAGTGTATGAGCCAAATTAATTAATTAAATTGTTAGTTTAAACTTGGAAGTTATTAAATTTTATCAAAATTATAAATTTGATAACCGTTTGAGTCACCGGAAAAAAATAAGTCATTATTATCTCCACGCCATCATATTTTATTCACCAATTAAATTAAATATATATTATTTTATTTTATTATATGTATTGTCTCATTTGAAAACATCACGCTTTACTATTTTAATTGTTTATTCTTTTTCTAAATACAGTCCAATAGTTATATTTATTTCATTGGACTAAAATTTTAAATTGTTATTTTTAGTCTTTAAATTCTTAAATATCATATTTTAATCTTAAACTTTTCTTACAGAAAAAAAAACATTGGTGTTTTCTTACTATTTTATTTAAACATAAACTCTTAATTTCATCACAACATCCAAGGGAAAAAAGTTGTTTTCCATTGATTTTCAATTCTTTTTATTAGATGTTAAATTAGTTATGACTCTAAAATTTATTTACTAAATTTTGGTTGAGAATACCAAAATTGAAAACCAAAATTTGGCCATTTTTTTGGATCATACCACTTATTTGATTTTTTTTGTTCTTATTACCGATTTATTAAACATTATTGATTTATTTTATTTTTGTAGATGATAATAATATAATGTTGGTGCCATATGGCAACTTTTAACAAATGGAATGATCCTTTCCAAAAATAAAAGAAAAGTAAAATGCAATGATGAATAAATGTTGACTAAATGTATGGTTGAGAATGGAAGACATTATTAGTCTTTAAATAATCATTTTTTTTAATACAAGGATAGGAATTTAAACTTGTAACTTTTTAGTCGAAAATAGATGTTGTTAAATTGGTGAACTAGATTTAGGCGGTCAATAATCATATTTAATTTACTCATTTGTAATGATTCAAACTCAATATGTTTCACCAACCTTTCAGGTCTTCTTTTTTTTTTTATAAAAAAACCTTTCAACTCATTAAAACACATATTTCTAAAGATACTAAGTTTGAATTGTAAAAAAAAAAAAGAGAAAAAAATAACTCAATATATTGCTAATTGAATTTTTGCCTAAAAAAACTGAGCATAACTTAATTAGAGGTTGGTGGTTCGATTCTTCACTTCATAATTATTAAATTCAAGATAAAATAATTCAACATGTCGTTAGAGTTTAAATAATGTTTATTTTTAACGTCTCCCACAGCATCAATAGATAAAATTCAAACATGACGCTTAATTTTTCAAAATTGAGATATAATGACATATATGATAGCCAATTGATATATAATTATGGGAGATTGGCCGAGATAGGTAATTAAGTAGGGTAATTCAGTTAAAAAGTAAGAGTTAGGAGTAGGTGTAGTCGTTTTTCTTTTTAGGTTAGGAATTATAATTATTGAAGCATAAATTTGACCTATCAAAATTACAAATTTTGTAGCATTTTTCTAAAATAAATGGATTTTGACGAAATCTACACAATAGAAAGATTACATAGTGTACTAGCCATGCGCATTTCGATACAAGTTATAATCAATTTATGTGAAGCAGGACAAAAATAGATTTTTTTAACATTATGAATATTTTTCTTCTATTTATTCTTTTGAATTCTTTGGATGAATGTAGAAAAACAAATTTCAAATTAGATAAACTATAACCTTTTCGTATCAAAAACAATAATTATAGAACCACTTATGTTCATCAATAAGAAGTTAGGGTTCAAGATAATCTTGTTAGACGTTTTCTTAATTAGTATAAAAAACAACGACTAATTGTAAAATAAGCATAGATAATCCAATTGTAAATAATAAATACATAATTTACCTTGATTTCATTGAAGATAATCTATTTCTTTTTCCTTTTTTTATTTTGAACCAGAGGTTAAAATATATAAAATGTCCTAAATCTATATAGATAATTTAGTTTTGCCCTCATTTATACAAAGTTTCAATTTTACCTCAAATCATTCAATTTACCCTTAAAGAAACCCACTTGTTAGCAATTTTCACTATAATTAAATATTTTAATATCAGAAGAAAAAATGAGACTAAATAAATTATCCTCAACCATTTAATCTTCTCGAGACATTGATGAAGATCAATAACCAAATATTTTCTCATCAATTAAAATATCTCAATAGATAAGATAATTTTCTAAGTCAAAAGTTAAAAAAAAAGGATTAAATAAATTTGATAATTTATTACATACCGTTTTAATTTTATCCTCGATTATTTAACTTTATCGATATATTAAATAAAGATCAATAACAAAATATTTTTTCGAGTCGAAAGTTCAAATCCTTATCCTAAATAACAAAAGATTTTATTCCAAAACAAATATAAAAGATTGGGATAAGATTAAAAACTTGATGAAAATAAAACCATAAAGTTGGGTATAATTTAGGCTTTGAGAAGAAAATTAGTAGGAAAACCACTGCCGTACGCCCACCCAAATTTGAAAGCAGAGAGTAGAACGAAAGGAAGGAATTTGCGAGTGTGGTGTGGATAAGGAAGAAACCACGCAACACTCCTCTGTATACCCAAATTCACCAACTCTATAAATATCTGTAATTTATTCCCACGCCTTCCATTTCGATCCCCTCTCCGATCTCCGTCGATTTGCCTGGTTTTTCTGAAGTTTCTGGTTGTTGTTTTGTTTTTGTCTGGTGGGAATTCGAAGGTTTTCGGTGGATCTTCGATCTGGGTTTTCCGAGACCGATCTTGGACTCGTCACTCGGAGCCGCTCTGGGTGTGGCGGATGTGGGTGGGTTTGCTCTGAAGATTTGAGAAGTGAATTAGGAGGGGGAAGAAGAAGATGCCGCAAGATCATCCAAGGAAGGTAGATTATGTTTCTTTGTGGTTTGAATCTTGTTTGAGACTGCTTGGTGCCTGAGATGATTTATGGATACTGAAGGAACTATTACCGTTTTTAATCTTGTATTTGTTCTGGTGTTGAACGAGCTCGTCTGTGTATTTTTTTTTCTTTCCCCTTAAATTGTGTGCAATGGGTTTTTAATTTGATCAACCAGCAAAGAGTTGTATGCTGCGTTTGGGGAAGAATGAATCATCTATTGATCTTCTTCCAATTGGTTTCTTAGCACTAGCACAGTTTACTCAGTACTCAGTAGGGCTTTATGTTTTCGAAATTCTGTTTATATTATATGATTTTCTTGCAGGGGTCAGGGATTAAGAAGAAAAGGGAGGCGTCTTTGAATTGGGTGATTTTTAGTCGTGATCCATGAGTAGGGGGGATTATTGATGATAGAAATCATGTTTATAATTTTTGAGATGGGACTGTTTTTGTAGTTTCCTTTTGGATATAGGACTTTCTAGGGGCTTACTCTGTATTTGATATTATTGGTTTGGAAACAATTTTTTATGTAACTATTGTGTTTTCCATGAGATGTGTAGGTTTTAGTTCCTCTTAAATTGTTTTTGTACATCCTAACTCATTTGATGAAATTCACGATCACTGTAGAAAAGTTCTAATATTGGATTGCATTTTGTACGATTCTTACAATATTCTATAGTTAGTTTTGTTTTAAAGTTAGTTAAACATTTGCATCATAATTGTCCCTTGTTGTTTTCTATTTCTGATGTTCTTAACACCCCATTTGATCTTTAGGAGGCCAGGGAAATAAACTTTTTTACTGAATACGGGGATGCTAATAGATACAAGATTCTTGAAGTTATTGGAAAAGGAAGTTATGGAGTTGTCTGTGCTGCTCTTGACATGCAAACTGGGCAGAAAGTTGCAATAAAGAGGATTCATGATATTTTTGATCACATATCTGATGCTATTCGAATTCTCCGTGAAGTTAAGTTGCTTAGATTGTTACGGCATCCTGATATAGTTGAGATCAAACACATTATGTTGCCACCTTCTAAAAGAGAATTTAAAGACATTTATGTGGTTTTTGAGCTACTGGAATCTGATCTTCATCAAGTTATTAAAGCAAATGATGACTTGACCCGTGAACATCATCAGTTCTTTCTTTATCAGATGCTACGTGCATTGAAATTTATGCATGCAGGTACTTCAGACGTTTCTTTATTTGTTAGAACATATGTAATTGTAAGCTTTTATTTCATTTCTTAGTGTGCTTGCAATGTCTTGTCAATTATATATTCCTTTTTTCTTTCTTAGATTTTGGGTTTGAAGGGGGCTTTTTATATTGAAAATACTGACTAGGTAAAGAACATGCTTGCAGCAAATGTATATCATAGAGATTTAAAGCCGAAGAATATATTGGCCAATGCCAATTGCAAGCTTAAAATCTGTGATTTTGGACTTGCGAGAGTTGCTTTCAGTGACGTCCCAACTACAATATTTTGGACAGTATGTTTTCATTTTGCTATTTGCAAATTATTGTTTTGATTTTTTTGTGTTTCTAAATGATGCTGCTTGCAGGACTATGTTGCTACTAGATGGTACAGAGCTCCGGAGCTGTGTGGATCATTTTGTTCCAAGGTAGGCATTTAACTAACTCACATTGAACACCTACCTCTGATATTGATTTCTTTTACTAAAATGTGTAATTTCTTGACATGCCTGCGGGCCTATATTATTTGTTTATTTTGGATGCCTTCCTAGACATTTATTATGTTTTGATGATTATGTACATTTTCATTATATAGTGAATTTGATAATGCATCATTAGATGACCTATGTCGCTCATGTTATTGATTCTCCGATATTAAAGTCGAAAGTGTCCCCTCCTCCCCCCCACAACCACCACAGAAGGAAAAACCAAAAGAAAACAAAAAGTAAAGAAGAGGTCAAATAACCTTAGCAGTATAAATTTTCTTCCCCAGGTCAAGGATCTGCGTCTCCAGTGATTTACTGGCCATGGTTCATTCAGAATTTCTTTCATTTTCATCATGTATATAATGTATATAGTGCTTTGTAGGAAACAATAATGCCTAGATTATAATAATTCTTGTTCAGGGGGGACTATTGAACTGTCCTGGAAGTTGAAATATCTGTCCTTCAGGTAACTGTATCAGGTTGTATCTATTTTTCTGAAGTTGCCGTTCAAACTTATATTTGTTTTCTAATGTTTGCTTTTTTATATCCTGTTTACAGTATACTCCCGCGATAGATATTTGGAGCATTGGATGTATATTTGCTGAAGTGTTGACGGGGAAGCCATTGTTTCCTGGTAAAAGCGTCGCCCATCAGTTGGATTTGATTACTGATCTTCTCGGGACTCCCTCATTGGAAACCATTGCAGGAGTATGTTTTGCTTGCTCTTTCTCTATCTCCATCTTTCTGTCCCTTCCGTTCTCTTTGTGATCAATCTACTTCTCTCTTTTTAGCTTCAAATATAATTAATACTCGTGTTTTATTGGAACTATTTAGGTTCGGAACGAAAAGGCTAGGAAATATTTGACAGAAATGAGAAAGAAACCTGCAGTTCCATTTTCACAAAGATTTTCCAATGCGGATCCTACAGCCATCCGTTTATTGCAAAGGCTATTAGCTTTTGATCCAAAGGATCGACCATCGGCTGTGGAGGTAAAAATTTTCTAGTTTGATTGTTATTTCACAGATGTGAATCTGGGGATTATTGGAGTTGTGTTCAGAGCAATCACTCCCTTCTCTTCAATATAAATACAATTAACTCCTTTTTCTCATTTATATGTTTACAGGCTTTGGCTGATCCTTACTTTAAGGGCCTAGCCAAAGTTGAAAGAGAGCCATCTTGTCAGCCAATCTCAAGATCGGAATTCGAGTTTGAGAGACGGAAATTAACAAAGGATGATGTAAGGGAACTATTATACAGAGAAATATTAGAATACCATCCTCAAATTCGTGAAGATTATTTGATTGGAGAGACTACCAAGCTCCTCTATCCCAGGTTTAAATACATTTTGCTTTTAACTGCATTATTTTGAAGTGATTATTGGGTTCTTTTATGCTGGATTTTGTTGTACAAAATATGACAACCTCCTATCATTGTCAGTGTTACTAGTCAGTTCAAAAACCAATTCACCTACCACAAGGAGAATGGTGGTAAAAGCGCACCTGTTTTGCCTCTCGAACGGAAACACTTCTCCCTCCCACGGTATGAAGTTATAAATTTTTAACAAATACCTCAGTTTTTTCTTCATTTTCTTCACATATGTCTGAATTACGCTCTTGACTGAGCGTGGAGCTCCTCTCTCCTAATGCCAAGGCCAAGTAGTCCATATTATTGTTATAACATATGGTTAGGTGGGTGTAGTATAAGGCTTGATCTCAGCCTCAGGTGGTGTTTTTGCAAACTCAATTTGCTAACCTTTTTCTTAGGTCTACTGTTTGCACAAACTTGGTTTCACCTGACCGTGAGCCGGTTCGACGAAATCCCAAAGTCCCAAACAATAGTATGGGATTACCTGATAGAAAATTTGGGAATCCATCAAAGGCTCATCATCCTCCACCCAAAGTGCCCACTGGTGTGAACATTTTTCTCTCTTTGTTTTTCCTTTTCATAGTTTCTCTCTCTATTCAATGGACAAATTCTGATAGGGTATTTGGCTTGTATCTTATGAGATTTTGTTAGGTTTGTTTGATTGAACCAAATTTACCATCTTAGCTCTTTCAAGCCCAACTTTTCACCACTGACATGGTTCTTGCTTTTGTTTCACTGCAAAACCAGGACGAGTTTCTGGGCCGATCCTCCCGTACGAGAACAGAAACATAAAAGACGTTTACTCGAGACTAACGTCGCAAATTAGAAGTTTGGATTTGTGAATGATAGAATGATTCTTCTTCCCAATTCAACCCCTTACCAGCACTGTAATTTGAGAGCCTCACACGAGTCGGTCATTCGCTCTAAAACTAACCATTATTACCCGGTACGAGCAACGGTAAATCTATAGTATGATTCGTTCATAATAGGAACTTAGAAGCTGTTGCAGGCAAAACTAAAGTTAGAATGGCAACCATTGCCATTGCCTGCTAAATGGAGTAGAGTAACTGAGTTAGGTAGGTATAAGTATAACCAACAGTAGAGTGTTTCATTCAAATGACAATTATTGTAGGGTCATCTCTTCTTTTAATGTTTTTTTAAGGGGATTTCTTTAACTGTTTTTGGTTTTTATTATGCCATGTAATTAGAATTATAAACACTCCATTTCTGTATATACATTTAAATGAAACTTTGTATATTGCAATATGGACTTAGAGAAATAATAGTCTAATATAATGGCATCAATTATAAAGATATTGGTTAAAAAACATTATGATCTATCTCAAAAATAAAAAAAAAATTATGATATTGTAGTTTTAAATTTACAGTGAAACTTTACTGTGTAACAGTTTAGTTCTTATCGTAAAAAATATTGTCAGCTTTTCAATTTCTACTATGCAATGGTTTAGTCTTTGCAATTCTATAAACACATGTAGTGCGACCCTAAATGGTTTATTGATCATTTTTTAAAAATATATTAAAGTTCGAGAATGAAATCGATATAAATTCTAAAGTACATGATTAAATTATTTACATAGTAAATATTATGGACAAACTCATTACTTCAATGAAGATTTTATTAAGCTATCCTATAGGAAATATGTTGCAAATGACAATTTAAGCCACATTGTACCAAATGTATGTGTTTCTTGTTGATTCAAGTATAACTTGATGAATAAGGATCTATTATTGTCTCAAAAATAGATGATTCGATCTTCACTATGCAATTGTTGAAAAAAAAAAATTATTTATGCTTGTTTTAGTTAATAGAATGATGCAATAATAGATATTACAATAACTTACATTTTTCATGATTTAAACTCAAGATTGTAATTAAAGTTAACGTGAGCATAGTCCAGCGTTTAACATCTTGCTCATTCCTTAAAAATCGGAGGTTCAATTGTCTATCTTCACATTTGTTGTACTAAAAAAAATCTAAAATTGTAATAACAACTTTTTAAAGTTAAGTATCATTGAATCCAATAAGTTTTTTTTTCTATGTTTATTTTTAAGTTACTTTTTTTATTATTTTTTTTAGTCTAAAAAATTGTGAACAAACTTTTTTCTTTCCATTAAAATAGTTTGAATAAAAAATATTATTTTTATGTTTTCAACGACAATTATTAAAAGTTAATAACTAATATAAATGTTAGACTACAATAATTTTGGTTTTAAAAATAATATAATAAAGGGGTAACTACTATATATATATATATATATATATATATATATATATAACATAAAGAGTAAATATTTACAAATATGTTGGTACCACACATCTCAAATCAAATTTGAAAAAATAAATAAACTAAAAAGTTTGTATTTTATCAAATATGTATTTAAACTTATGTAAGAAAATGTAAGCACAAAATTATGAGAATTTTATGAAAATATTTTTCCAACAAAGATTCAAAATGGGGAAATTGGAAAATGATTAAAAAAATCGGGATTACATTTTATATTAATTTTTAAAAAAAAAAAGTCAAAACCATCATTACCCCTAAAACGATTATGAAATAACAAGGAATACAACAAGAAAAATGGTGTAGGAAAACTTTGAGGTGTGAACTAAAAATAAGAAAAATGATAGACAAGTTAGGTTAAAAAATAAATTCTAACTAATTAAATTTTAGGCGTAGAAAATTTGAAATTTAGAAAAGGAAAAGTTTTGGATTCATTAAATAAAACATAATAGTGGAAAATAATCTATTAATATTTATAAATGTAGTCCACCTAAACCAACCTTAACCGGTTAAAACATGTATATATGATGAAAAGATGATGTATTCTACTTTCCAACCAAAAATAAAAAATAAAAAAGAAGTACGAAAAAGAAAAATTATAATGCAATCATGTAGGATTTTTTTAAAATAATGTTTTTTTTAATTTATTTTTAAAATAATGCTGCATTAAATAAAATAAGATAAAAATGCATTTTTTGAAACTTATTTCAAAACTAATACTTTCGAAATTAATCCCCCACTTAGTCGTCTTTATGCCATCTTTATTAGTTGGTCTTCTCTTCAAGAGACGACCATAAGGACGTGACACTTTATTAGCGTCACGTCTAATTTCTTTAAAAAATCAAAACATGGACGTCTCCTGAAGAGATGCCCATATGTTGGAACACATCACAAGGTTGTTTGGGGAAGACGGAACGACTTGGATTTTTGGGAAATAATAAATATTATTATTTATTATATTACATAATAAAAAGTAGAATTTTTTTGTTGAGTTAATCGAATAGTGGCGCAGTGGATTATAGTTCAACTTTCTTCCTTCTTCTCATGGGTTTGATCCCCAAAAGCATAGATTTTTTTTCTTTTACAATAAATCAACTTTTTATTTATTATTATTATTTTTTTAAAACAACACAACATCATCATTATTATTATTGTTATTATTATTATTATTATTATTATTATTATTTATATTTTAATATATTTCAAAAAATATTATTTTTAATAAATTGTATATTTTTTCTTTTACAATTAATCAACTTTATAGTTATTATTATTATTTTTAAACAATACATTATTATTATTATTATTATATTTTATATATTATGATTATTTATTATTTATATTTTAATATATTTCAAAAAATATTATTTTTAATAAATTGTATATTTTTTTCTTTTACAATTAATCAACTTTATAGTTATTATTATTATTTTTAAACAATACATTATTATTATTATTATTATTATTATTATTATATTTTATATATTATGATTATTTATTATTTATATTTTAAGATATTTTAAAAAAATATTATTTTCAAAAAAAGAAATGCATAGGCATATTATTATTATTATTATTATTATTTTAAAACAATACATTATTATTATTATTATATTTTATATATTATAATTATTTATTGTTTATATTTTAACATATTTCAAAAAATATCATTTTTAATAAATTACATATTTTTTCTTTTACAATTAATCAACTTTTTAGTTATTATTATTATTTTTAAACAATACATTATTATTATTATTATATTTTATGATTATTAAAAAAAATAATAACTAAAAATTGTTAAAAAAAACCTATGATTTATGGGGTTCGAACCCATGTGTAGAAACAAGAAAACTATACGACCATTCACTGCACCAATCGTTGAGTTCTTAAATATATCTCTACTTTTAAATATATAATATAATAATAATAATATTTATTATTTCCTAAAAATTCAAGTTGCCCCGTGAAGAAGCGACCATTCTAACACATGGTTGTCTCTTGAAGAGACGACCAAGTGGATGATTAATTTCGAAAACAGTTCAAAAAATACATTTTGTTTTGTTAATTTTATTTAATGCAGTATTATTTTAAAAATAAGTTTAAATAAAAATATTATTTTAAAAAAATCAATCATGTAAGGGTCATAGGAATGAAAATATATAATAAAATAATAATTAAAGACTACTTTGGTAATTCAACTATCAGTTTTTGTTTGTTTAGATCTCTGTATTAATTATTTATTAATTTATTGGTGGGAGATATATGTTAATTATCGTTGAATTATGTTTCCTTTGACAATCTATGTTGACATTGGCCCGCAAATATTTAATCAAAATGGTACACACATTTCTATATAATAAGTGTCAATACTAAATTTGAATTTCAAATAGAAGATTGACCAATGTCTTTTAACTGTCAACGTAAAGATTATTTCATCGCGAGTTATAATCCCCACCCCATTCTACTAAAAAATTTGTCTTTTCAACTAATTTGGCTCGAACAAAACCTACACCCTCTGAAACTACATGAATTTATTTACCACCAAACTACAAAGAAAAATTATAGCGGTAACATGTCTGATGTCTGGAAGTTCATCCATAAATTAATGTCAATCTTAATAACTTTGGAGGATATCGCCATCACTATACTGTTACCCAAGAATTCACTGCAATCACAGGAATGGAAAGATGGAAAATTGGGTAACCTGAAACCCAATTTCTGATCTCCCAATAATAGTTGGAGGCGGCAGTAGCTGGCTTCAGCTCCACCACTAAACCGCGAAGAAGCTGTAGATTTGTCGCCTACTTCCAAGGCGCTTAGGCATTCTACGCGGCATACGGGTCTTTCGCAAAGCAAAAAAGAAAGCTTTCTCTTGGTACGAGCGCCACCAACCTCATATCATAACTTCCTTTTAACTACTGATAAGAAAATAAGAGAGCTCCTATGTGGGCATCTTCTATCCACCCAATTTAGCTCCCACTTGTAATCTATCACTCTCTGCTAAATCTGTTGATTTTCCATGTTAATGGCCTCTGTGAAGCTTATTGGGTTCTCTTTTCTTGGTTCTGCTTCCATACCCACCAGTTGTTGAGTGCACATTAGGTGTTTGATGATTTGTCTATGAGAAGTTGAGTGGGTTTTTTGGGCTGGCTTTGTTGATTTTAGCTTGATATTTGGTGGTTTGGATTTCTGGGTCTGACTAGGAATGATGTCTGTCATATGCCAGAGCCTTGATTTCGGAAGGCATGTTTTGGATTATGTTGCTTGTGGTTGTTCTTCCAATACTCCGTTGGATCGATATACGGTGAGGAGTCATGTTAAACCGTGTTCTAAGGGTAGAAAGAGGAGGCACCAAACTCCAACTTTGGCTTGTTCCCGACGAAACGTTGGCCAGTGCAGAGTGTTTTCAACTACTAAACCAGAAACCGTACTCGATGGCAAGTAAATTTTTGGCTTTAGGCAGCTCCATTTTATTCCTACGGTTAGTTTCAAAAGCTTGTGATGTAATAGATCTCTGTTTCTTTCTTTTTGACAAAACAGGTATTACTGGAGGTCCTCAAGCATTCTTGGAACTGAGGAAGGAGTCCCGCCCAATCTCGCTGACAAATTTGTTTGAGGTTGTGGGCGATGATCTCCAGAAGCTCAACCAAAATCTTCTGTCTGTAAGTTGCAGAGAACTTTCTCACCGTATTATGTAGCTTTGAGGGTCATCGATGCTTATGTTGAATTCTATAGCTTATTATTATTTGAGCATAGAAGTTTCTCTCATTTCATCGTTTTGAGTTTAAGATATTATAGTTTCTGGCGTGGGCCTTCATTTTCTAAATTTTGAGCAATTTTCTCTGAATTTTACTTTTTTATACCATGTTTTTATGTTATATCTTAGAAGATGCTAGTTTCGAATTTTTGTATGCAACAAATTTGTTTTGAAATTCCACCATTTTTTTTTTAGATAAGAAACTTGCTTGTATATATCAGACAAAAAAGGGAACAGCCTGAGGACTGGTGTAGAGGAAACCCCACCCGAGAGCTAAACAAACGCTTTCCAATTGTTCAAAATTCCACCATATGATTAAAGAGATATGTTGGATTTTCCTACAGTAACAGCTACATGTATTCTCAATGCTGGTAATTGGTACAGGGCTAACTTTTCGAAACTTATGAGTGTTTACAGTATTACTGTTTGCTCATACCAGAAATTATGCATTGTTTGGACAACTATGCTTATAGTCACAGTCACAGTATCTATAATGGAAAGAGGTTGGATATACATATTTTTTGCTTTGAAATACTGCAGGGAGCACTTCTCAGAACGGTTTTAGGATTCTCAATCTGCATCTATCCCTGATCCATGTCTGTTTCAAGTTAATTGCTTGACTACAATTAAATATCATTTATTCTCTGTATTTGCTACCTCAGGTTCTCATCTGCACTTATGTCATTCCCAACTTATTTTCTTAGTAACTATGATTTCGCACATGGTGTCTCCCTACAGTATCATGACATCTATCATCCATTTTATTGCCTTGGAACGAATATACCTTACCTTCTGGATTTGGCATGTCACCTATAGATTTTAACATTATTAAAAATATCTCCAATCATATTTCATATGCTAGTCATTTAATTTTCATACAAGTGAAGTGAAGGGAAAAGAAATGGAGCAATTGTAAGAATAATAGAAGGGTTTGAAGTGGTGTATTGCTGCCCAAGTATTCTTGCTTAAATGAGCTGCCTTGCTTAATGGGATCAAGGTCCTGGGTTAAAGACTTTATAAGAAAAAATTCTTGTTATCTTTTGGAGTTGGCAAAACCTTGTTATTAGAAAACACTAATATTCAAGTCCTTATATAATATAATATCGGAGATTATTCAACTCTGTTTTTTGGAGAATTTCTAGCATATGAGGGAATTGATTGCCAAAGCTCTTAGAAGTTAGTAGATCTTTCACATTTACTGTCAACTATCCTAAATATGTGTAAAAAGAAAAGCCATTCTAACGGAAGCCTATCTCATCAAATCTCTAGTATGAAACTGTAAATTCCTTTTTAGGTCCTTAAAAAAATTCTATCTTAATCCTAACCATCATGGGATGACCCAAGTGGTCAATGAAGCCAATATAAATAGCAAAGGACTTAGAGGGAATGTGTTCAAACCATGGTGGTCACCTACATAGGATTTAATATCCTACGAGTCTCCTTGTCAACCAAATTAGTAGGGCCAGGCAGTCGGCCCGTGAATAGTCGAGGTGCGCGTAAGCTGGCCTGGACACACGGATATAAAAAAAAATATATATATATTCTATCCTAATCCTGGACTTTCCACAACTATCCGACCAAAAGCATTTCAGTGCTCTGTGTTTGTTCATCTTCACAAATTAAACACAAACTGGATCTCAAGGCCATAAGATGTGTTTATGCCAACAACTAGAAACGTTATAAATGCTACTCTCTACAAACCAAGAAGTCTGAACTTTCATGTATGTCACCTTTATTTGAGAACCAACATTCCATCCCAAAACTACTATTGAGAAAGGGTGACTAAGGAACCTTGGTTTTGAGATTAGATTTGGAAACCTACTGTTAGTCATCAAATGACCAAAGTCAGCTACCAAGGTCCTGTTGGCCTTGATAACCTCATCTCTGTTTCTAACCCTTAAGCTAATACTCAATTGATTCCAGTTCAGCCGTAAAATTCTAATGATAACGAGTTTATTGTCTGTACTAGGAAAAAGGAGAACTAGGAGATCATAGAGCCACAAACACATCTTGAGCAAAACCATGAAATTGATTAAATCCAGAATCTATGAAGACACAACCAGGTACAGTAACTTCCCTTTTAATAGTGGTGATGGTGTAAATGATGATTTTTGGGACTTGTCCAACACCCACAGTAAGCGTGTGAGCTCTTGCACATACCACCAAAACTTAATATCACATGATGGTTTATCTTCTTCTTTTTTCTTGTTTGCTATTGATGTGGGAAATATGATGGTATTTATTTATAATTTTGTAAACCCACGGTTATAGCACCTTCCAGAAGGTTGGTTTGGTTTTTATTTTTTTATTTGTATTAGTTATGCCCAATAGCTAAGTGTAACTATCTTTCACTGTTGGTTTCTGTTAAATCACCATTAAACTAAAAACTTAAGTTGATAGGCTGCAGTAATTCTTAACATTCACTCTCATTTTGTGAGTTTGGAAATTAGCAAAAGACCCAACAAGTGATTATAATATTAATTGGGGAGGAAATGACATAACAATGGTGTGCTCTTTCTAATTTATTATCTGATTATTCTCCAAGTATGATTTGTTATAATTGGGAGGCTTTTATAACTCCGGTTTAATCTTTTATGTTATTCTTCATTTCTTCTGCTTGTATTCTTTTTACACTTTTGGGAGTTTGTATCTTTGAACAATTTTTGTTCCTTTTCATATATTAATGAAAAGTTCGTATCTTATTCAAAAATATTAACTGGGGAGGAAATGATATAACAGAAACGGTGAAATCCCCATATGGTCTCAAGTACGTTGAACAAATTTGAGAGTGAAATTAAATTGCTATAAATTTTGAAAGCAAAGACAATCTCAAACATTCCTTGTAGCTCTTCGTTAGATCTAGTTTGGGAACTATTTCCAATTCAGTTTTTTGTTTCTTAGAACAAAGTTTTAGTGAAACTTAATTTTGTTATAGGACATAAATCTTTATTATGAAAGGAGATGTGGTGTGGTACAATAATAGGGAGATGAAAAATTTGGAATACCCCACAATGGGTATTGGGTTCTAAAAAAAACGGAAGAACTCTGCAGAAACCCATATTTACAGAACTCATTTGACAAGGAACAGTAGGAGGAAGAGAAAATCTGAAGTTTCTAAAGTTTTAGTTTACCAAATTCAAACCCTCCTTTTCAAAGGAAGACAAGTTCTCCCCTGATAAACAAGGTTGCCGTCTCCTTCATTTCTTGCGCGGGGTTGGATATTCTCAAACAGAAATGAGTTTAAGAATAAACATATTGAGAGGTTGAGATGAGGAATTGCATCGGAAGATGAGGCAGAGATCAAAGAAGTACTTTAAAGGGAATTTATTTCCTTCTTCCATTTTCGGGCTTCAAATTATTGATCTTCTCATAGAAGCTCTTCCTGAAATCAAGTTTGAAGACTTAAAGCTCAAGCGTGGGTTCATTTATATTCACAACTGAAATCGAGTAGTTTTGCACTTGTATGTTGCTTCACAATCAGATAGATCACTCCATGGGCGACTTTTCGTTTATTATCTCAACTAGGATTTGTCCTGATATCTTATTTGCACAACTCAATTTTTATTCCGTTTATTTATGTGATTAGCTCTTGGGATGTTCTTCTTTGAAAAAGGGTATTATATTTTGGTAGGATTGTCCATATTTGGATGCTAATTGAAAAAACACAAATGTAATACATCTCCCCTCATTTTTATTTCTTATTTTCAACATTTTGTCATTAACAGATTGATAATGGTTGGTAGCCTGTGCCATTCTTTGTGTGAAGGCCTGGTTAAATATTTAACTTAGATGTAGCACACTGAGGATGACTATTTATTTCTTCAAGTTTCATGTCACATACTCATCAAATTGCTTATATATAATGTTAACTTGGCAATCTTGCTCGTTTATACAGATGGGCGTTGTTTTAAAAATAGGATATTAGGAGTCTTCATTTTCTGTTCATCACCTATAATGTGAAATTCTTTAAGAATATCTATCCTCTTTATTAGAGATGATTTCATTTAAAATGTGATTATAATCTAATTATAAGTCATGGAAATGCCCTGTAGATGGTTGGTAAGGAGAACCCGGCCTTGGTATCTGCCGCTAAACGGATATTTGGTGCTGGAGGTAAGAGGATGAGACCAGCTCTAGTATTCCTAGTGTCAAGAGCGACAGCCGGATTAGTCGGGCTAGAGTGAGTAATTCCTACCACACATAAACACATTCCTGGAAATCTGAATTTAGTATAGCAGTGGAAAAAAATTCAATTATTATTTTGGTTGCATTGCCTGCAGAGAACTCACTGTGGAGCATCGGCGTTTGGCAGAGATCATTGAAATGATCCACACTGCAAGCTTGATACACGATGATGTATTAGACGATAGTGACATGAGGAGAGGTATGCCCCTTTTATGTGTGCAAAGTTTGGAAATTCTTATGGTATACCTATTTCTGAGTTCTGCCCATGTCCATGTAGTTATTATGGCAATTCTCAATGAAAACTAGTTTTTTCATAAAAAACATATATATACCTATACTTGTGCAATGTAATAAAGATGAGTTTTTTTGGAATAATGAAAAATGTTTTTAGCCAATTAAATATATTTTTCAAAATCGGCAAATAGCTTCCTCTTCTAAGTTGCAATACAGTAAAAAGTTATTTTCAATCGCTCTGAAGTTATGGATATAAACCCATGTTGCGTTCTTGTATTGGTTCGTCACTTTATTTGCCGTGTCGATACTTCTTCCTCATTTGGAGTCGAGTCACAACTGTAACTTGTTAGTTGCATGCAAACAAATAGTTTTATTATTATCACATACATACAATTGTCTGGCTTCAATGTAATACCTTTTTTCAAGGGTAGACTAAATAGCAAAGCAACTATAGAGAAGAATCAGAAAAGGAAAAAGAAACCATTGCCTATTAAAATAAGGAAATCTTTACCTATTAGAACAAGGAAACCATAACCTATTAGATCCTAAATGCAACAGAGAAATTAATGGAAAATAACTGTATAATATAATTTAACACCTTTTCAGTACAACTTTGCTAGGATGGGAGGGTTGGTTAGAAAGGTAGAGAAGAGCATCAAATAGAAGAATAAGTTTGACAATGTGATGTGAAGTTTGGCATTGTCTCAAAAGAGGAGACCTTCAAGTTTCTCGGGCTCGCCTTTTATGATACACTTGCGATGTTTTTGTCTGTATTCACTGCTTCCCCCTTTCCTCCTACGACTTCTCTTAGCTCATCAGCAGATTTATTCTTCTGATGGTTCATGCTGTTTGTTGTTCTCCAGGGAAGGAAACCTTACATCAATTATATGGTACCAGAGTGGCGGTGCTAGCTGGAGATTTCATGTTTGCACAGTCATCATGGTGTCTTGCAAATCTCGAAAACCTCGAAGTCATTAAGCTTATCAGTCAGGTAAATTTGGTTCCCGTTCGCTTCGCAAGTGTTTACATACCAATAGATAAAGCATCAGAATAACTTGATGTTGTTATGCAATCTATAGCTTATATAAGATCCAATTAGTTCAATTTCAGGTTATTAAAGATTTTGCCAGTGGTGAAATAAAGCAAGCATCAAGCCTGTTTGACTGCGAAGTTGAACTTGAAGAATATTTGATCAAAAGCTATTATAAAACAGCTTCCTTAATTGCTGCTAGTACAAAAGGTGCTGCAATCTTTAGTGGGGTTGATCGCGATACGACTGAGAAGGTGTACGAGTATGGAAAGAATCTCGGTCTTTCATTCCAAATTGTCGACGACATATTGGACTTCACACAATCAACAAAGCAGCTCGGGAAGCCTGCAGGAAGCGATCTAGCTAAAGGAAATCTTACAGCCCCAGTTATATTTGCTCTGGAGAGAGAGCCTAAACTGAGAGACATTATCGAATCGGAATTCAGCGAGCCGGGGTCTCTCGATGAAGCCATCAGCTTAGTCAAGAGCAGTGGTGGCATCGAAAGAGCACAGGAACTAGCTAAACAGAAGGCTGATGTCGCAATCCAAAATCTCCAATGCCTTCCACAAAGTGCCTTTCGGTTCGCGCTTGAGGACATGGTGATGTTCAATCTAGAACGAATCGATTAGTTTAGTTAAGGAAAATATACTTGGGAAGTTGACCAATGGAGGAATTCTGTCTGCTCTGCTGCAATCCCTCAGAAATCAAACGGAGACTCTACAGTTCACCTTTTGCCACCACACAAGCTGCTTTGTTACTGGCTGGTTGTTGTATATTTGATTGAACATGTTGAGCTGCAAATTAACTGCTCATTATATTTTATATTCAATTATAGATTGTCTGACATGGAATCTCTGCTTCTGATAGTTTCTGTATACTAAATTCTAATAAAATTTTTAGATTTTGTACACTTTGATAGATTAATTTAATACTGAGCCTTTTCATCTTCAGAGGCCAACTATTGGATTGCACTTTGATAGGTTATAAACATGGGAATTGGATCAAATGAAGCTTAGTTGATGATTTTATTATACCACAAAAATGTCATTAATGTAAATATAAGCATAATGTCAGCAATGTAAACGATAAATACCAAAAATAACAAATATTTTATTAGCATTTCAAATTTATTGAAACCTTGCAATTTCCATCGATATCAATATTGAAACAACTAAAGGACATGGTTAGTAATAAGATAGATGGAGTTTGAGATGAGCTCTTTATTCCAACCGCAACCCAAATGAACTTTTCTATTTTCTTCTCCATGAATGATGTTGATGGAGCTTTGGCTCAAGCTATAGAAAACACTAGGGTTGTGTGCTGAGCCGGTTCGATGGAGTTGGATCTAATATAGCATCTGGTCCGGTCGACCTACATCGTGCGGATCGACTCACGTCACTTCTTTGACCTCATTCTAGGTAAACCTAATACAGTGATTCACCTGTGACAAATGAGATTATTATTTTGCATTATATTTTATAACCTGAGTCATTGTTCCATTGTAGTTTATGACTACAATAATTATGATTAACACAAATGTATTAATATAATTTCGTTTTTTTCAATAAAAATTTTCAATAGAAAGATGGTACCAGTGGTAACCATTCTAACCTCTGACCATCAAAGAAATTATTGACATCTTAAAAAGTTGAACGAGATTTAAAAATAGAATAAAGTTGGAAAATCATCTCTGTTTGAATTTTACCGTAAAATTGGTAGTTTACTCCATTTATGAAAACGAGTGTTCAAATTTAGCCTTTGCTTTAAATTTCCATATGAAAATTGGTTTTGTAATTGTAAATAGAAAAAAAAAAAACTTCCATGGGCCATGTATTGAATTATATGTTTTGGGCCGGCCCATCAGTTCATCCCCTCGCGGAGA